TCGCGTGACTTGTTACGTACAGCACAAGTGCCAAGCCGCACGTGTGTTTGTTTGGGAAGCAGCCAGCGGGTAATGGAGGAAATGAGTGTGCCGACTAGAAAAATCAACCGAGCGTGACCGAAGAGAAAACAGATGATGGTTCCAACGCCGGAGAGATTGTCGAACGGAAGAGCCATAGAAGTTCCGTAGTGTGAAGGTATTTCGGCTATTTCAAGTCTGACAAAAAATAGAGTAGCGTGCACTGTAAATTGTGCCGAAAGCAAGTCTGGAAATACAATAAACTGGTGCATGCGTCACACTGTGCGCCACGTTATTGTTTCGGTGAAATGAATTTCTACAATACTGTTAATTCTACTCTCTGCAGTGTTTAAATGCTTACATATACACACAGTTACTGTCCTCCACACATACGACTCGGTTCTGCTTCTATGCCCCAGCTTTGTTTACTTTTTCCCACCGAGGCTTCTAGACTTCTGATTGGCCAACATTTCTGCACGGTTAGGAATCTAGCCACCTGCTGCTTTGGCATGTTCATAGCAGCGTTTTCCTTCATTTCTGCCTTTATGTGTGGACGGGATTATTTTTTTAAACGAAAACGGAAAATCTCCGTTTTCAAAAATACCCGTGTACGTGTGGACGTAGCCTCAGTCTCTGACTGGAAGCGCTAATTCGTCATTCGGCTTTTGTCAGACTAAAGTAACTGTTAAAACTGTTTGAAAAGCTCAGCTATACAACAAGGAGAGATTGAGAATTTCCTTTTAGTTCTCAGTTTATTTGATATTGACAAAAGTTAGTCAGTTTTGTCTGTTCTTCTGTAAAACAAACTAAGATTTATTTTTAGAATTAATATTTTGTTTCTAAGTGGAATTGACAATTTAGTCTGTTTCGTTTGTTCTATTTTGAAACTTAAACGCTTTAGCGGCTGCCTTTTGTGTAGTTTGCAATATTTGCCTTTATTTATCTGAAAAAGTCTCATGTTCCTTAAGTACATCTACCCTGTTGAACTTATTATGGGAAATAAATATTTAAATAAAAACAAGCTGCTGATTATTTCACATTTTACTTGTGAGCAACGGCACATTTAAATCTTACAAATATAGTTATTTGGCTTATATCGTGATAGATATCGTTATCGCCTGAAATGAAAAAAACATATCGTGATATGAAAAAATCTCATATCGCCCAGCTCTAGTAAAAACTTATAAAAGACTTGCATAAGATGTGGCCTACTTCATATAGTGAATCATATAAGGCTTATATGATTTACTCATGAAAGTGGCCACTTTCATATATTGTTTTAGTAAGTATCCAAAACATACAAGTTTCATTTATATAATTTTTCTAGGGATCTTATATCTGTTTTCACTCTTGTATGCTTTTCATACAAGTTTCACACAAGACAGATACAAACTTTATAAGATTTATATATATCTTTTCCATATGGGTAATCATCCAGGTAAGCAAATCCCATTAAGTTGAATGTGTTCATATGGGAGAAATGTTTTGTCACTCATCCAAGTAACTGAAGGTCAGCACCACTGACTAGCAATGGGCTGTGCGCTCAGATTTGTGTCTCACTGCCAGCCTGAATGCAATTCGCACAAACAGTTATTATATTTAAGGGAGAATTATTTTTTCACAGAGGGCAGGTAGGTTTGGATAACATATTTCCCTTTTTAAGTGAAATGATTATTCAAAAACTGTACTTGAGATATCTTTGTCTGAAATCTAATGTTAGGGGTAATCCATCTGTCTGCAGCCCAAGGCTGGAAGCTTAGGTATACTGTGTTGGGCCCTAAAGGCAGTTGCACTTGAGACCTTCAAGGAGTAGGGAGTGCTACGGTAACTTGGCCTGCCAGCACCCGCTGCTAAATAGAGATGAGTTTAAGTCCTTTCCCTTGATGCCTGATGAAGAAGGAGCTCAGTGTTTGTTGATTTTGGCTCGCTGTGGTAGGAACATGCAGCATAGATAATAAGCAGTGCCATTAAGAGAGGGAGCGCAAGCCTTAGTTTGGAGATGAACGAGCAAAAACACCCCACTGACATGTTTACAAAGTGCTTTTATTTATTTACTACAGCCCAGTACACAAATAACTTGTTATTAATGCATCATGAGGTGCAGTCAATCTGATGTGTAATGGATATTTGTGACTGTGAAATTCTATTATCATGGGTACGCATAATGAGCGGCTGTTCAACGACTAGCATACGCAAATTCACCTCATGTTTTTTTTAGCATTACTTATTATTCATTTCTAGAACTGGTTGACCAGCAGCTTGAAAAAAAAGCAAAACTACTCAAATAAGATTCAGAAAGTGGATGGATGATTAACGCTGCTGATTCTGAGGTAACAGGAGGAGGAGTTTTAGTTCCCTGCCCCGATTTCGAGTCTTATTTTTCAACCGGCGCAAGTTAGGATCTTCTTGTAGCTTGAATGCTACACTGTGCCTCATTTCAGTGCATCATGCTTGAATGTATTGACAGCCTAATTGATCTGTGCAGAACAGATGGGCAGGCAGGTGGGGGGAGGAGGAAGGTACGCTCACTGTGCGAGTGCATGTTTGTTCTCGGAAATGACTACAAAGCTTTTTGTGTCTTTTTTCTTTCTGCAGAAAAAAGAATGTTGTCAATATTCCAAAAGCAAAAACAAAATGAGCTACTGCATATTGGAGCGCTGTTAGGAGCCATTCCAGTCGGCAGTGATGACTGTAACATAAAAATAACAAAGTAAATCTAGGTTTACAATGTGGAGTGCAGCTGGTAAAAGTCTCGCGCTGGGCTTCCATCTGAATAGCCACCTAAATGGAACGGTGCTATCTCATTTTTGAAACACTGTACTGGTTACTGACTGCCAACAGAATTCACAAGAACTGTTTTGTATCAGTGTCCATTAGTACGTCCATGGGTTTGTGCAAAAAGCATTTTTCAAACAGCACATTCATCTCTGTGGGACACATCTTAGAAATTCGGAAAAATAAAAATACACATCTTTTTACTTTAGTCATTCACGTGGTTTTGGTTTTAGAGTGAACTGGTCTTTTTGCCACCAGGATCTAGTGGTTGTGCCCAACTTTAAAGAGGACTACTCAGACATCTCAATACAATCTCAGCAGCAGTTATAACTCCTGTCAAACTGTCCTTGATCAATCCATTAAACCCCTCCAAACCTCCTCCACTGTAACTCACTGAGGCTGACAGCATGTCTGAAAAACCTTGTGCGCAAAATGCACAACTGCCAGAAACAGAAGAAAGGGTTTTAAACAATGGCCATCTCGGTAATTGTGCTATTTCAGCCACATTACACCCCACGGTACTTCCCTCCCTAAAGGAAATTGAGCTGTGTGCTCAGACTGTAATTACAGAGTGGTTATCTAGGTTTGGTGTCGGCTATTTCATCTGGCAACTAGTCTGGTGAGGACATCCACATTGCAACAAAGCAGCTGTTTTCAGCTCCTGCCTTGAAGTCACATCAATAAAGTACATTGTAAACACATGAGTCACTGACAGTCATTGGAGAAGAGTTTCCTGAGGTCATCGAGGTGACTGATAGTGACAGCGGTGATTGGCAGATTCCAGTGTCATATTACTGGAAAAACAGTCTGAGACCAGACTCTGTGACTCTGGCTCCGCATGAACGGCCCCTTCACACGAAGACGAGGGATGGAGAATCATTCCTAAACTCTTCTTCATTGCGTCTTCTTCTCCACATATATCTGTGCTGGCACTGATCTGAAGCTTCTTCTTCCTTTTAATCTATGCCACTTTGTATAACAGTATCAGAGTGTGACAAGAACACACATTTAAATGTAAATTTACCGACGGGGGGGAAGTCTGCTGCTAAAAACAGTACAGTTCTCTCTTTTTTTTAACTGCTAAAGTGAAAATAAGCAGCTTTAATCCAGCCTTTATAGTCCCAGAGGAGCATCTGGAGTCAGTGAAGGAGCACTTTCACAGATGCTGAGTTCATAGGCAATGTTTACAGGCTTGTAAAAGGGAGCCTCAGCAGTGGGGCTGGGCCCAAAGACACCACACTGACACAAACGATATCATCCCACTTGTGTCAAAAAACATTGCTTTAGTACATCGCACATGGAGGTTCATCTGTGCTGAACACAGACATGAATGCATGTTGACAAAGAGCCTGTAGCCAACTGGCAGCAATTTCAGTTATACACGTGTGATTGATGGAGGATCTGAGGATCCAGCAGTCTCATTTAAACATATCTCTATCATCCCAGAGGTGTCTGATGTCTACAAGAAAGAGCCATACTATGACTCGTAGTGTGCGTATGTGGCAGATTTCGCTTCTGAAAGCTGAAATCAAAAGCACCATATGCATACGTCTGAAGGCAGAGTCATGAAACAACAAAAGCCAATATTGTGCATCATACATTTATATCCAGGGATTCGGTGACACTTAAACCTACACTGTTTGGTACTCTCCACCACACAGACTGGGACATAGAGGAGCTGCTTAACATTTTACACGCAGCAGCAGCTGGTAAAGGCTTTTTCCACCAAACCTTGTACAGTAGCAAGAAAGCATGCATTTTTTAGCAATGCTGTCCACAGAGGGATTCAAACTTTCAACCCTGCCACACTCACTTACAGTAGTGGAGAAGAAACTGAAGGGTTTTTGTTTCACAATTGCATTGTGTCCATAATTCATCTAATGGGCCCAATGCTAGAGATAAATGAGCCAGCAAAGTCAGATTTCTGTGGGGAGCAGATGCTGGTGATAATCCAGTATCCCCTGGGCAGGTCACACAGTAAAGCTGCATATGGGCTACTCTGCTGTCTGTTGTTCCTAAGTGGCCTTTTAAGTGACATCATCTAGGAGGATTACTCACTTATGCACAAATGCTGACATAAAGGGGGCTTCCTACAAGATCAGCTGACTGATGTGAAATAGTAACTTTGTAAACTTTATAACGGACATTGTACAAGTGTTTTGTTTGTTTGATAACCAAATCCACAAAACAAGCAATTTAAAACTTACCATATGCCAAACTTCCGAGTGCAAATACAACCAGTAAGGGAACCAGAGCCGGACTGTACTCCATTATACAAATGTGCACATAGGTAGATAAGGTTGGTGGCAGTCTTTAGGCTGTCAAACAGCAGCAGCAGCACTTATAATTTCCACACAGACCCACAAATGAGCGCCAGCCTATGGTATGAAATGTCAGCAACTAGCAGCGGACTCCGCAGGCAGCATCTCAGCCGCTCTACAAATAAACCATAAGTTCAAACTTTAATCCCTCAAGGCTTCTGCAAAATCTGCGCTTAGTGTCGTACAAAGCAAGCTGCAGGTGATGATCGGAGGGGCGGCTGAGAGTAAGGTGAAGGCGGCGCCCGGTCAATGAGTCCCGTTTTTTCCTCTTATTTGTTTGTTTTTAACAGAGGAGAAACATTCATCAGGGCTTAGTCCTGTAGAAAAACAGCCCCAAAGTAGCCGGAGTCATCGTACCAGGACGAAACGTCCACTTTGTTAAAAGCTCAGCTCCATGTGTGTCACTGCTCCGTCCCTCTCTGTCGCTCCGCCACCAGCACTGAGCCTCAGCAGCAAACAGTGCGCTCCCGGAGCCAAAGCGCACCACGGTAACAGTGGCCACAATGGCATTACCGGCTTCCGCTTGTGCTTTCAAAATAAAATTCTGATGAAGCAACCTGATGCAATGCCTACGGCTATATTATAAATTGATAAATTAGAGAAGCATATCTTTAAGAGGGTAATCACTGGAAAATGAATATTAAAAAACAGCTGTGTTAATGCCAGTGGAGCCGGCAGGTCTTGACTGACCTAACAAAATGTGAATCATTGGTTACAGAAATCATTCAACCTGTCAGGGCACCTCATCTAATAGTTTCGACTCCGGAATATATATATATATATATATATATATATATATATATATATTTCTACACAGAGAGAGAGGGAGAATCTACACTATTAACAAAAGCACATCTCAGTTAAGCTGTGACAAAACCACCAGCCTGCTGTAACAGTATGCTGAAGGCAGACTCAGCATGCCTCCGGTTCATCCTTGTTTAATTCCGACTAACTTTACCACTCCAGTACCATTCTCTTAAAGGGCCAGTGCGCTCAATTTCAATGCGTATGTTGCGGGAGCCTCCGAGGGACCATTACAGTGAAACCTTGTCAGGCTATGTATGTAATGTTCGTATACCTTCTAACCAACAAAACACGATAGGACCATGACCAGTTAGTCATTTCTGTTAAATTCAGATTTAAATAAACTTCAGGGTCTTAGAGACACAACAGAGGCAACTACAGTTGAAGCAAAACATTTGTGAACCTTCTCGTAACTCCCATAACATCTGCTTGGATTAATAATAAAATGGCAAAAGTTACTAATGGAAATATTTACTTGGTTTTTTTTTTTTTTCAGCCATTACTGTGGGTGATTACTCAGTGTGCTTGATCTGGACATGAAAAGTAGTTACGGTTAGTGTTTCGTCAGATTGTATTTTGGCTATAATTGTAACTTAGATGAAGATTAGAGACGAGTAACCAATACAGAATCCCACAAGTAATCCAAACAGTTTTGTACTTTGTCTCTGTTACTCCGTTTCTGTGTCCTCCATGCGCTGGTAAGATGTTTCCCACTTAAGCTGTGAATTTTCCTCAGCATTGAGAAGAAGCCACCATGCTGTTCAAAAAAATCCAGATGTATAATATGCAATCAAAGACAGCTTGGACACTTTATCTTACATCTATATAGTTATATATATGAATATTTTGCATCCTTGAACACGCTATGAAGAGCATGAATGCTAATGTAGTGCTGCAAAGATTCATGATCTTTGCATTCATTCAGAAACCACCTTTTTTTTTTTCTTAAACTGAACTCATAATACTCAATGAGGCGCAAATGTCAGCTTTTATCTCATGGCTGTTATCTAAACACACAGGCATAAATGATTTTGGCAATAGTTTGAATCCAAATGCAAATTTCTCTTACATGTGTACGACCTTTGATTGTGCCGACTGTGATGCTATGTATACAAATAAGGCGATAGAAATGACTCAGGCACTAAAAGATGCAAACAAGCCCCCCACACTGCTGCAAAATGTCACTATTTATCTGAGCACAGGCTCTGCCTGCAACTGATGGAAAGCGAAAAGCAATATTACATGTGCCAGGAGATACGGCAAACTGCAGCCAATGAAACTTGACTTAAGAGCCACAATTCTGCAATAAGGAATGATTGGCTAGAGTGCTGTTGAGCTGAATAAATATTAGGGGTCAGAAAGACCTGGTAAACACACAGCTCTTGACATTTATAGAAATGCATTGAATGGTGGTTTGCATCAAGCTGCGCATACTAAGTTGAGCTTTAACACATTCTGTCTCGCTGTGTTCTCAGCATTGCATGAAACAGAAATAATTCCACATCAGTAAGGTCACAGTGTCTGCTGCAGAGAGCTGAAAATAAATTCTCTCTTTTTGGGTTAACAGGAAAAATGAGAAGCAAGCGCCACTTAAACACCCCTGATATTTCTTTCATGTTTTATGCATGTACATGTTTAATTTAATTGCAGAAACTGATTAATTGAGCATTGCTCTGTGATTGAATAAAACATGATGAGGCCCTCCACTTAAACGCATTTCCGTTTGTCTGTGACTGATGCCGCTACTTTGGTGCTTTCATCAAACATTTGGCATAGCTGTCAGTGGAATCAAGCACTCCATGAATTCAGACTAATTATCCACATTAGGAACTGAATTACAATGACAGCCCATCAGTGTGGATTGGTGCTGTGCAACACATTTGCAGCTGAGCCATAGACCACAGAGTTTTGCCCTTTCCACGCACAAAGATTTGCGTGTGGAAAGGGCATAATTTTTGCTATTCATTTGAAAGCATTGTAAAGGCCACGTAGAGTCAACTTTTGTGAAATGCCAGCATTAAAACATTTCCTGGAATTCCTGGCAGCATAGGAAAAGACGGCCTCTATAATATATGGAGGCTAATTGATGGTTTGGTCGGCAGGAGACTTTTCATTGCCCTACCTCTAGACCAGCCAGTGTTTGAACAGAGGCTCTGGAATCTACAAACAATAAATGTCAATCCAAATAAAAAAGAGTGTTTCCACAGTTGTTTAGAACAGATCCACTGAAAGAGTTGAATTCAGCACATGGCAAGCACGCTTCAAGACAAACGTATCGTCATATTCAGTAATGCACTGGGCAGCTGAGCCTACATTTATAAATAAACTAATGACTTTAAGTGAAAGGAGCCTATGATGTATGAAGGATCTTTTTTTCCCCTCTTTTGGCCAAGGCTGCACTGTTTCTGCAGGCTGTTTAACTGTTCCACTCTGAATGGCTTTCAAATGCCTTTCAGAAGAGTGAGAAATATCAAGCATCCCCCAAACATCAATTTATGGAAACCAAATTAGGCTTTCAGACCAACGTACCACACACATATCATTTACATATAAGCTCCAAAATAATCAAAAGGAAAGAGACTTGTTATTTAAAAGTCTATTCGGTTATTTAAGATGAGACAGAGCTCATTTTGCATGCATGTGTGATGCAAACAACAAACTATCAGTGCTTTGTCATTTTAAGGAAAATTAATCTCTTGCACTTATCACCATGAAGGGTTTTCTAAAGAGTGCTTTCAGTATATGAAGCTGTCCCAATGGCATCGAGTAGTTGTGGAGACAGATTAATTCTTAAAAAATATACAATTTCTTTTGGCTTCATCCTTCTTCTTTAAGCAGCATTGTTGTAGGTCAAACCTGATGATTCATGAAGTGTCATGTAGAAATGTATTACTTCCTGTCCAAGGATGTCTATAGATGTGACTGACTCTGAGGACAGAACAATAAGTGACCTTGGAGATGTCCATTAGATGGAAAATGACATATTTTGTTCTTTCCTTGTGTCTTTTAAAATAGGGGGTCATTTTAAGGAGCCAGTACATGGCTAGTAGAGGACCATTGTAAGTACAATAGGTGGATTTATTGTTGTGTTTTTAAAGAATGCATTATATTCATCATATGCATTGTGTTCCAGTTTTCCACTTTTAGAGTTGAACAAATAAAGACACAGTAGACATTGAGACACTGATAGTCCACATGATATGATATTCCCAGGGTGTGGTTGTGTTTTTGAGATGAGCATTCTTATTATATTTTGAGTTGTGCTGCCAATTACAGTTTCTGTTGTACTGTTTTATTGTTTAACTTTGAAGGATAGTTTTGCTTTGCTTTGTTTTTTTTTTAACCTAGTTTTACTTCCTGCTTTTTAAATTAGCTGCATGTGTACTTTTAGTTCTTTGTCACATTATTTCACAGCCTTCCTCCATCTCTCTGTCTTGGGTTGTCTCATCTAATTTCATGACCTTTTGATGTAAAGATGGAGCGCTACACACGGCAAACCTTGGTATTTTCTTTTCTCGAATTTGCCAACATAATTTTCTCCTGTTCGTTACTGGAAGGCAAACAAGATTTTCCTTATTTTCGCGCTTAAAAGACCATATGAACTGATGTATTGTTCTTCCCACAGAGAAATGGCCAACATCCTTTACCAGAACCACTTCCTTCCTGGCTATAAATCACCATTAATGTATAAAAACAGTGATGGCAGTCCTGATATTGCTGGGAGTGTTCAAGGAGCAGTTTTGCATGCCTACAATTACAAGAGCTGATAAAGCTGAGGAAGAGGGAAAGTAAAAGTCTCTCAGATATATACGCCCACAGCTGTTGATGTCAGAGATTAGCCTTTTGTGAATTCATTGTGCAAATGCTTAAAATAATTGCTATTTAGCTGCCCCAAACTTGAGCTCTGATTTAAAGCTAAAATGTTTTTTCAACAATGCAAGTTCATCTTTTAAAGTACCTTTAAAATCACCGAAAGGCTAACCTTGAGAGAACACTTTTAAGTTGGAAATAGCCAAAACTTGAAGCAGAAAATAACAGACTATTAAGATGGAATCAGTGGCACACTGCCTACAAGGCACTCTGTACATTCTGAATCACATGATTATGCCCCTATATCTGATGATGCAGCAGAGCAGGGAGAATAAGTCATTAAGACTATTGCTTATAATCTCGGTAGGCAGACCGACTCGTGGTGAAATCACTGTTACCTTGAAATGCCATTAAATGCTTATCATCTGCATCTATAGCGAGACATTTGAACCTTTTCAAGGTTCCTTCTCCATTTCTAGTAATGAGACCCCCATATGTCTGCACCTTTTTTTAAACTCATAGCGGGTAATAAGAGGACAACCCCCTCAAGAGGATCCAATGAACGAATTCTAGTATAGATTAATTGATTAGGAGGGTGGCACTCTAAGATGATAATATATCTCTTTATTGATCCACCTTTCAATGGGAATGGCTGTTATCCAACTTCCCTCAGGGATGAAAAGAAAAAAGAGGGAAAAAATACGAGGGGGAGGTGGTAAAGCAGTCCAGCTATTAGGTGGGCAACTAATTTCCTGTTTCTCTTGCTGGCTTTTCTCAACTTGGATTCAGTCCCACAGTGTGAATAAAAGGAAATATGGGCAAGAGATCCAGTGGATTGCCATTTAGACTAGAGCGCTATTGTCTCTCTACTGTCTCTGCTCCTATAAGAA